CGCTGATGTAAGCTCATAAGTGTCATAGCGTCTGTCTGCGGGAAAGTCCTACGTTTGCTGTGTTGTTTTTTAAAATGAGTCTCAGCGACTTCCGACCTCGTCAGAGCTATCCATCCCGGTCCAAAACTATCTTCTCTCTAAATTTTCATTTCTAAATTGGGAGGGACGCCTCACGCAGTTTCATTTGACGTCATTCCTCTACCGGCAACTTGGCTACACTCAAAAGGGCACTGCAGGCCGAACATCATCAAGAGAAGTAACTGTGTCAACTGTTTTTTCATCATCAAGAGAAGTAATTATTTCTACAATTTTTCTCATTTCTTGTTCAGAAATTCCCGGTACCACGCCCATGACGGAGCAAGCTGCGGCTACAACCATGCGAGGAACAGACTCTGCCGGAGCTGGTGGCGTTGCGACAATGGGTGGCCTACCCGCGAGCAGCACGGTCGCGGGCGGTGGCGACGAAGACGAGGATCCGTCCAGCGCGTCTTCGTCGATGATCCCGGTGTTCGCCGGCATTGCCGCTGGTGTGCTGCTGCTTCTCTTCCTATCGGTGGTGATAGCTGTGGTAGTGCGACGACGGCGACGACGGCTCTCCAAAGGTAGGTGTTATGTTCGTTCGAGCTCACATCAACAAACGACATTGGAGAGATCAAACTTGAGTTGTCACCAAGTAAAACTAAAACAACAATGATCCGTCATCACCAAAACGGCCGCCTAACTCCCAACTCAGATCTAGACCATGTACGGTAGAGATTTCCCCAAGGCAATCTCCAAAAAAAAGTAAAAAAAGTAAATTATCGTGTCCGTTCCCGAAGGGAACTCACGACGGCCGCTAACACCCGGTAAATCCTAGGCAATCTCTACACGTGACCTGATACAGATATTGTACACATACATCACAGTAGGTCACTGTGCCACATGGAATCAGTACTCCATTGCCTTTCCCAAAGCAAGGTAAACAAATCCACGGTTCGCGTCAGACTCGGCTAGAGGCCGAGTTTTCCGCATCCGTAGTAACGCCGCCACCCCCCAAGGATCAAGGCGCAGATGCAGCTCAAAGTACATGTGAACGTAATACGTTGGCGCGTATGAAGTTTTCCTTCAGCTGTTCGTGCCATGCAGGATAACAGCCAACCATGAGAAAATACATCCTTGCTCGGCCGTCAGAAAAGTGTTGCTATTTGCGAGTTGTCGATATTAAAAGTATGTCGTCAAGTGGCTATTTGGTCTGAATAATATATAGTCTACAGTACTTTCAGAAATTTTAGGTGCTCAATATTTTTGGGATGAGGCCAAAAGCTGAGCTGAGTGTGTGGTGATGCAGTGCTGAGTGTGTGGTGATGCAGTGCTGAGTGTGTGGTGATGCAGTGCTGAGTGTGTGGTGATGCAGTGCTGAGTGTGTGGTGATGCAGTGCTGAGTGTGTGGTGATGCAGTGCTGAGTGTGTGGTGATGCAGTGCTGAGTGTGTGGTGATGCAGTGCTGAGTGTGTGGTGATGCAGTGCTGAGTGTGTGGTGATGCAGTGCTGAGTGTGTGGTGATGCAGTGCTGAGTGTGTGGTGATGCAGTGCTGAGTGTGTGGTGATGCAGTGCTGAGTGTGTGGTGATGCAGTGCTGAGTGTGTGGTGATGCAGTGCTGAGTGTGTGGTGATGCAGTGCTGAGTGTGTGGTGATGCAGTGCTGAGTGTGTGGTGATGCAGTGCTGAGTGTGTGGTGATGCAGTGCTGAGTGTGTGGTGATGCAGTGCTGAGTGTGTGGTGATGCAGTGCTGAGTGTGTGGTGATGCAGTGCTGAGTGTGTGGTGATGCAGTGCTGAGTGTGTGGTGATGCAGTGCTGAGTGGAGGAGTATGTCTGTTGACCATGGTGTCCCACTCATAGTCGTGAAAACAAGTAGCGGATGAGCAACGTTGTAAAGAACAGATAATGCCAATGACGTTGAGAAATTCCCGAGGACCAGAAGAGCGTGCGAAGTGTTGTAAGAACTGTGCGGATCTGAGTTCTGAAATGTATGATGTCTTCTCGCCTTGTCGCCTTGCTCAGACACGAATGGCGGTAACTCAGGTGCAGGCAGCTCCAACGACCGTCAGACGCTCGGCAATTCTGCCTATGATTCTCTGGTGAGGAACAGTAATGAGATGTAGAATACTGATTAGTTTGAGGGCTGCGGTTGCAAACGGGAAAAGGTGTAGAATACCGTGCACAGTGTCATCATGATGTCATCCGCACAGACATTCCGCCGGGCAGGCGGTCACTCACTCTGGGTTTCTTGCAGGTTTAAAGACAGTGCGGGCATCCCTTTCGCCATGCCAGTGTGGGCGTACGTCGTTATTGTGCACGATATCGACGCAATGTCATCCACGCATACATTTTTACCTGGCACATGGGCTCTTTGCAGGTCTACAGACAGTGTGGGTACTCCTTCAACCTTGCAGTTTTGCCAACACAACGTTATTGCCCCCCCCCCCCCCCCCCCCCAGGTGTTTGTGTTCATTCGCCGGGGATTTTCCCACACTCCATCCCCCTTTATTCCGGATTTCCAACAGCGGATTTGTACCAAGTCTTTTACTTTTTGTTTTGATGTGCATCTGTGTGTGTGTGGGTGTGTTTTCCAAGGACGGAAAGACGGAGCCGCCAGCCTTCGACAACCTGCGTTACCATGGTGATATTTCGGTGAGTCATCGCAGTCAAATCTGTCTTCAACCTGACTGTCTTCAACCTGGTGCAATGAAGAGCTGCTCTTTACAGGAAATAGTCTCTTTAAAAGGCGGACATAGCGCAATCAGGGCATAACCTGCATGTATTTACAGTCAACCGTGCGCATGATGACCCTCGTACGTGGGGGGGGGGGGGGGTGCATTCATGGATGCATGCGTACATGTGAATACCATTTTGCACGTGACAATGTTCACCGCCTCTTTAAAGGTCATACTGATGTGGGACCGGTGCTTCATTGTGATTACCCGTCTCCCGATGTTGTTGTCGTCACAGAAAGCACCCCTGCCAGCATCTCCACCACCCAAGAGCCCGTCGACCACCGATGAGAGAGAGGCAGTGGTAGGCAATATTTCTCAATGCACACGTCAGACGAAATGGCACGTCATAGTACATTCGAGATCAGCGGGAAGAAGATGACGACGTCCACTAATTTAGTATCTGTGCACACGAATCTGCTGTGTGTGTTACTCTGTGTGTCAGCTATGGCATCATCGCCTGTGGTTCCATGCCTAGAATGTACGTCTGAACCATCCTGCAAAGTTTGAATGACGTAGGTTGAGCGATCGCTCCGCGAAACATACTTTTTGAAATTCTCTTCATAGTATATCTTCCACCATTGAAATTTCGAATTTCTTCAAAAAAAGTGCTGAGAGGGGTGGCTTGCAACCTCGATATGGCTTGTTCCAGGCATGCTTTGGAGCCATCGCCTGTTAAAACAGTGGCGGGAAGCTGCCCTGCAACTGTTCCAACAGGAAATTTATCGATCCGAGAAAGCGCGAGTCTGCGAATCTCGGTTGAATATTGAGTATTTCAAGCCTTTTCACGACGAATATGGAGTTCTTTTTGGAGATGGACGTCGCGGCAAAGGACATGGTGTCCGACTTCTGGCGTCTGGTGAAGCCAGGGATCATTTGTCCAGTCAGGTTGGCAGCCTAACCGTCGGTAAGCTTGTGTTTGGATCCCGTTCTGCTCGATGTGGTAGACCACAAACAATTTGATATCGCACAAATTGATCTCAGCATCGTGCGTACGGTATTTTATATTCAGAAAATCCCAAAGTGTCTCTGTGTGGCCATCCTATGCCACGAGAAACTCCAATCAGGCTCCAATGTCCTCTGCCTTCATGATTGAATGTCCACTTCGTTTGAACAACGAACACAACAATCGAGGATGGCTTTGCAATGAAAAATACAGCTATACTGGAGCTGAAAAAAAGAAGAAAAAAACGTGCTCAGGATGAGACTCGAGTACATGCATACTCTCCCAGCAGGTGAAACGCAATTTTTTGTGAAAAATGCGTGTCGCCGACTGACCAGTAATTTCGCCTGACGTCTACTCAATCCTCCGACAGCTAGCTGCTTCCACCTTATTATGTCTCTTCAGCGGAGCTTAGAGTGACAGGCAAAACCGATCGCAATGAAGTCTAATAAAGAACAAAGCTTGTATAAACTGTCTGAAAGCATCAGAGCTAGAGTGCTCTTACTGCGATGAATGCAGCGAGCATCTGTGTGTACGCTGACTACGTGCTTTCGTCGTGTTGCTTTCCCTGCGTGTACAGTATGAGGTGGCAAAGTCTCCCGAGCCGGTCTATGAGAAATGTGACAAGGTGAGTGTGCAGTCTGTCTTGCGTTAGAGAAGCAGAACACACCGCAGCTATCATACAGTGCTGTTCAGAACACACCGCAGTTATCATACAGTGCTGTTCAGAACACACTGCACTTATCATACAGTGCTGGCAGGTGCTGAAGACCTTAAGGGGGTCATAGTCGTAGCTTAGGCCGTCCTTTTCTTTTTTCATGCCCAAGTCTATGCACAGTTGAGTCGCAGGCGTAAATATCGGTATGGGAGCAAGTTGACTCACTTTTCTGGAATTGGGTTGAACCAACTTTAGATTTTGGGGGAAATCAGTTGTTGGAGGGGTAAAATTAGGACTTGGAGTGGTACGATTAGGACTTGGAAGTCCTACACACATTTCTTACCATAAAAATAAGAAGTGTATTGAAGGGTGCTGTGCTGGGAAAAGTCCTAGCCTGTTTGTTCTTGGGTGCTCCGTTCTTCGAAGCCTGGCAGTGCTGCATCTTGTCATGCAAGCCTGTCTTGCGCTGGACAGTAAAACGTGTCAAGGCGACCACTCTGATAAGGCGACCACCCGTCCCAGAAGCCTGTCTTGCACCATACAGTAAAACTTGTCACTCTGATAAGGCGACCACCCGTCCCAGAAGCCTGTCTTGCACCATACAGTAAAACGTGTCACTCTGATAACGTGACCAACTGTCCCAGAAGACCACTACGCCATGAAACAAGGGGTGATATTTCCAACCCTTTATAAGAAAACCACCTGCACGCGGGAACACATTTCTTAGGTCGCTTGAGGCAGACAGGCTAAGGCAGGCTTCTATATAATAATATTTGAAGCCGTGTTCTTTGAAGACAAGCTTGATTCGTTAAGATAGACCATTACACACATGCCTGGATTTGTTGACATGACAGTTGTCGCCCAGGAAATCCGAGCCTTTTGTGCTGACACGTCAGTGAAGCACCAGCAAGGTTGTGTGTATATGGGTTTTGTTTTTCATCGGCGACTGCTACACATGGAAAAAACCCACTCCCTAATTTGAACAGACTGACACGTGGCCAGCCGGCAGCGTGTAGTCTATGTCCCACAAAGAAAGTAATACCCCTGGACATCTTGGTGGGAAGTGGGAAAAAATAATTATTGTGTATGTATGTGTATGGCCAAGCTTGTGTGTGTGTGTGCATGCTCGTCACGGCAAGTATAGACACGCACGGTTGCATGCATGCGTGCACAACCCCCCCCCCCCCCCACACACACACACACACATTCGTACCCCCCCCCCCCCCCCCCTACACGCGCACATTCATACCCCCGCCCCTACCCACACATTCATACCCCCCCCCCCCCCCACACACACATGTACATGTTATTTAAGCAGTCATTGTGCATGTTGCCTGATCGACAAACATGACAGCTGCATCCTTGCTGTGGTGCATTACAAAATACCATGCACCACTATTGCATGATCCATATAGGGGGATCATGAGTCACACATCTTCGTCTTACTCCGTGTGCAAGTATCTCTCTACCATGCAACTAGGAATCCAAAAATTCACTGTCGTGCCGCAGTACTGTAACACCAGGTATGTTAACGTCAATTAAAGTTAACGATCTCCGGATCTTTGTGTGTTAGCGAGGTGAAATTCTAACGAAGTCTGTTCCACAATCGGCAAATGACTGTACATGTTCGTTTTGTACATAACGACTTCAAATGTTAACGAATTGTATGAATTCGTTAAATCGTTAGAATTAAATGTTTGTTAACAGTATTGTCTTCTCTCGTGTTTTTATCCTATGGTTCAGAAACCCGACAGCGTACCTGTGAACCATCCAAATATATACAACGTGCTGCACGGGGATGTGGTGGTAAGCTGAACATGTGCGTGCGTGTGTGCGTGTGTGCGTGTGTGTGTGTGCGTGTGTGTGTGTGTGTGTGTGCGCGCGCGTGGGTGTGTGTGGGTGTGTGTGCCAGCTAGCTCCGTTTGTGGGTACACCTATGCCAGATAGTAGATCCGTCCCGGGATCCAACTGCAGTTACCCCTGCCCCCAGTGAAGGCAATACTTGCTACTAGCATCGATGCTTGGATGTCGTCTACACCAGAGCATAACATAGTGGTATGGTATCGCTGGCCATAAGTGAGGATCCCTGGTTCGAGTCCTCAAGGTGACAGTCAATTTTTTCTTCAGACATTTCCCATTTTCAGCTCCCTAAACCTTATGACTATCTGTTCTTTGTGCAGATTGGCAGAAATGGTGCTCAGCCTGGTGACGATGGGCCGCCTATTTCGCAGGTAAGGTAGCCATCTGCACGGCCAGTTGTGTCACTACATGCCTACATTCCCTATCCAGACTGTGAGACCAGTAATGTCAACAAACAATTAACTCTAACGATTTATTATATATAAACGGATTTAAAAAAATCGTTAACATTCGGAGTCGTTATGTTCTATTAAAACGATATGTACGTGTGCAGTCATTTGCCAGTTTTGAGACAGAATTCATTAGAATTTCACCTCGCTCAGGGCGCGTTCAGACTACCGTGAATCCCGTCAAACCGTGATTCCGATAAACCGTGAAGGACATTCACACTACCGATGACAAACTAACGTTACCATGAAGTTTTCAGCTCTCACCGCGGCACTGACAAGGGATGTTCCCTTTTTTTCCAGCGTGCATGCAGCCTGAGCACTTTTTTTACTGCCGGAAATTTTTTACTGCAGCAGCAGCCGCGGCAGTAAAACTTTTCCGCCGGTAACGTGCCAGTAACGTCACGTGATCAAATCACCTTGGCGACTTTCCCATTCCGTCACTTTTTATCGGTAGTCTGAACGCGCCCTAACCGACAAAGATCCGGAGATCGTTTAAAACTTTAATTGACGCGTTAAAATATCTGGTCTTACAGTACTGGTATCCAACAGTGGAATTATATCCTGGAGTAGTATAATATCCACTCCCAGATTTTATTTGTCATGAAATGCGGACATCCACCCTGTATAGCACCGTTATGATTTATTTTATTTATTTTATTTTATTTTTTTATTTTATTTTTTTTATTTTTTTTATTTTTTATTTTTTTTATTTATTTATCGTCTCCACTTCATGGCACATAATACTACATAGCCAATACAAGAAAGGGATGGTGAATCCAACCACGGAAAATAGCAGTAACAAAAGAAGAAAAGGAAGGGCGGTGTCACCATGTGTCAACAGCAGGTAAGTAAGTAAGTAAGTAAATTATCGTATCCGTTCCCGAAGGTAGCACAATACTATTTTAGCTGACTGCATCCTTAAAAGCTGAGAGAGACTGTTTGACTATCGTAGTTTAATCTGTACTGTCTTTGCGGGGTGAGTCACGAGTGTTTTTAAAAGTGCAGCTTATGCATGTACTCCAGAAAATTCGGCACATGAAAAACAAAACAAACACGTTTGCTTGCGACCTGGCATGTATTTTTCTAATGATTTTCTGGTCGACGTGATTTGTTTTCTTTATAGCTAAATATTCTTGCCTGGTTGTTCTTCAGCTCCCAATGCAAGTGTACGTCACCAGATGTCACTATGACATCCCCTATCTACAGTGTGCTGCTGGGTGCATAGACAACAGCACGCACGCACGCGCGCGCGCGTGACTCAGTGCACCGTTCATGACTTCATATTTGGACGATGCATGGGCGCGCGCATGTCACCAGTATGCATAACACGAATCGGATGGTGCATCGGCGTAATTTTTTTGGCTTTTTTAAAGTGTTTTTTTTTGTGGTCTCTGTTGTGCTTAGCCTGGACAGCCTCGTCCCAATTCGGAGCATTACCACAAACTCCAGCACACCGGTGAAGTAAGTGCCCATGCTGCACTGCAGTAAGAAACATGCTTCAACTTCAACTTTCTACAGTAGAGTCGCGCGCCCAAGAACGTTGTTTCCAAGGGGTTAGCCTGGGACGTTCTTATTATACAAATTTCTGGCTGCGTTCTTATGGCACGTTCCGTACTGGATCATATGTATCCGACAAGTTGCCAGAAAACCAACACCGCCGTTCTTAACTTTAGGCCGGCTGTGGCGTTCTTAGTTTTTCAGGCTGGACGTTCTTGGGCTCCACGTTCTTCAGCGCGCGACTCTACTATAGTTGGAGACCAGATGGCAATTATTATATTATTGATAGAAACACAGCCACTCCACAACCAAAGGACACCGATTCGTTTTGTCGGAAACGTGTTCTTTTCCTCCAGACCTCATTAGTAACTCAGTTTTTTTCTGGTGCTAGTAGATGATATGAGAGAATGAAAGAAGCAGCCCATCCACCGGAATTAGTCAGTTATGAATTCTGTGGATTGGTTGTGTTTCCAAGCCGCATTCTGGACTCTTTCTCGGGCAGATATTCGGACTGCGCGTTCGCTGGCCTTCGTTGTACGTAGTACAAATAGTACTTTGAACACGTGATGTGAGTTTTCGCCATTAGGGACCCCATGTGCAGAGTGGCACACTCTTGGGAACTTACTGTAAAACATGTAATTTTAGGTGCATTGAAATTTCGGTGCCAGTGACCCGCCAGGTTTCAGGCGTAATGTAGAATTAGGCGACCAGCGTTCCCTTCGCATACAGTGCATACTCAAGTGCCTTTAGGTGTAATTTAAATTTAGGTGCCTGGTTTCCCAACCGAAATCACCGAAATTAAAGTTACACCGAAAATTACATGTTTTACAGTGCTTACTCTTTTTTTTTCGGAGCTTTTTATTTATTTTAAACTCTCAAAATAAAAAAATATAAAACTTACTCTTGTTCTTGTGTGTCTGCATACTACGTTGTAGTAGTCACGGAAGTGTCTGTGATTGATGGATTCCACTGTATATTAATTGTACAACATGTCTATGTTCTGGCCGAAGCAATGAATAAAACAACTGAAGCCGACGTATACACCATGATGGACTAGTAAAATAAAATAAATATGTGTAAAGTCGAATTCAGAAACGTTTTTCTTCGATGGTCATCAGTGAACCTACATCCAATGATATAAATGTGAGAATAAACCAGAATAATTATATGTTCAAACTATGTGTTCATTCAAGGTTACAGAGTGACCACAGTAACAGCTAGGGTCCAAGGGTGATTGTATTGTCACAATGGTGTGAGCAGCGTGGAATGAAAATAATATTGAGCTAGGCTGTGAGAATCTAAGTGTAAGTGTGTGAGAGATGTAACGTTTTCCTTCTGCGAGTATAAGTCAAGCTTGAGTAAGTGGATGTAAATACCTCCCAACACCTTCAACTGTGACAACCAGCTAGCATGGCACAGTACAGTAGCACAGCGGAGGATTAGCAAGACGAAGTTCGCGTTTGTGTTCGCGCTCCGAGGCAAGTCGAACTCAGTGACGGAATTCGTGTTATGGGAAGGATTAGCTAAGGGAGCATCTCATAAGTTCGCATTTTTTTTCTAAACGTAACGCATTTCGAAACGGGGGTAGGGGGGTAGCGCCCTTTTCGAATAAAAAAATGACAGTTCGCACATTTTCTGGATGTGTACAATACTGTGCTCACGGTGCACGTGACATGGTGCATGTGCTAGACCGCCTCATGAGCTCAGCAGGGTGTGTTCATGGTGTTTAGCTACTAGTATGTTCGCAGATCAGCTAACCTTGCACTGCATGCAATCAATCATGCAGGCTAATCAGAGGTGTCAAATGTCACACCAGCATCATCAAACCGTGTACCTGGCCAGCTTTCACAGTACAGTCGTTGTGGAGAAACTCTGTGTATGTGCGTGTACATGTCATTTGTACTCAGTAGATGCTGTACTACTGTATGCCACCAAGACTAGGCAAGAGTTACTCTTGCCGAGTCTTGATGACACTCACATCCACACTAGCAAAACATTCATGTACATGCGCATACCATGGCATGCATGGATATGTACCGTAGTAGATCTACATGTACACTGAAAATGTGCGATAAGACTTTCAAATAGTGGGGGGAGGCAGGGGGGTAAAGTCTATTCGAAATGCGTTACGTTTACAAAAAAAGTGCGAACTTATGAGATGCTCCCGAACAGAATTCGCACATGCATGACGTGGACACGCCGTACATTGTGTACAGACAGTACAGCGTAGTAAATCTATGACTGTTCTGACCGGAATCTGCGATTCGTGTTCCGACTACTTTTCCAAACGAAAAATGTGAAAGTTCGCAATCCAGTTCGCGAACTGAAAAATGTTCGCAAACACGAACGCGAATTTCGTCTTGCTAAGCCTCCGTACTATCGTCACAATACACCTGACAACATTCCAGACTGACTGTCAAATGTGCACCACTCGCCGACTTCTTCCATGCACGTAGAAGGAAAACGGTGCATCACTTACCCGTAGATTTTCACAGCCTAGCTCAATGTTATTTTCATTCGGATTCCAAACTGCTCACACCATTGTTACAATACAATAAGCCCAGTGTGCATTGCCAAATATGGAAGGTATGAGTAATGCATGTGAGTACGCTGGGATCAGGAATGCACTGTTCAACACCCAAGACGACCATGCGCATATGCCCAGGTGGCTGTGTGGGGTGTTATGTGAGTACACTGGGATCAGCAATGCACTGTTCAACACCCCAGACGACCATGCCCAGGTGGCTGTGTGGGGTGTTCGCGGTACAAATTACGTCATTGCGCAATGGGCTAATCACCCTTGCACCCTACAGTCCATTTCAAAACTATAGACGCGTACCTAGGCAAAAACCGTTATGCCAGCATCTATACCACATAAAATCTGTGATCACTTTGTGCATAATTTTTTTCCAAATTGGGCGTCTGTTATGCAATCGTTTAGAAACTATATGAGAGTAACTGTGGAGCGGTCCCGAGCAATATTCCGAAAACTATTCTCAAAAAGTTCCAGCCAAATTTGAAATATTTCAAAAACCCTACGCGTCTATAGTTTTGAAATGGACTGTAGTCGCTCCTGTAGTCACTCTGTAACCTTGAATGAACACATAGTTTGAACATAATATTCTGGTTTATTTTCTCATTTATATTATTCGATGTAGGTTCACTGATGACCATCGAAGAAAAACGTTTGAATTCGACTTCACACATATTTATTTGTTATTAGTCCATCATGGTATTATGTCGGCTTCAGTTGTCGTATACATTGGTTTGCTGAAACTTCTTTCTCCGAAACGGCTCCTTGTCTATGTTCTGTTTGCGTTTTCCATCACTGATGAAAAACTACAGGAACGCACGTCAGCAGAAGGCAACACAATGTATGACAGTGTTCCCGTCAAGGCGGCCATGAGCAGATAAACACATCGAGAGAGAGAGAGAGAGAGAGAGAGAGAGAGAGAGAGAGAGAGAGAGAGAGAGAGAGAGAGAGAGAGAGAGAGAGAGAGAGAGAGAGAGAGAGAGAGAGAGAGAGAGAGAGAGAGAGAGAGAGAGAGAGAGAGAGAGAGAGAGAGAGAGAGAGAGCAGATTGACTAATGCCTTGATCCACCACATGCACCGCACATGCCTCTCAGTAACAACTGTAGCACTTTCATCTGATATCTCGCTCCATAGGAGCATTGAGAGTGAACAAAAATGCATAGGAAGGGGCAGGGGTATGCTGATGAGCTGGGAGCGCCTCGTTTGACGAGCAGTCTCAGAATCATGCAGCGGCAGCCACCGGCAGTCAGGCACCGAGAAGATGCCTGTCCTGCACGCCCTCGTGCATACGCCGAGCAAACACCTCCTGGACCAGACTCTCGTAAGAGCACGGATGCGCACGACCACACGGCAAGCACGTAGAAATCTCCGCGAGCAGAAAGTTCACACATCTCCACAGGACGCACGGGAGTGGAACTGAAATGTGTGTGTGTGCGTGCGTGTGTGTGTGTGTGTGCGGTCACTGGTCCTGTACATTACCGCGACTCCAAGTCATCATTCGTTTGCATTTCATTTAAAACGGCCACGTGTTAGACTGACGACTGCATGCACAGCGCTGTGTCAATATAAAACATGCCGAATTACATGTCTGACAGCTAGCTGGCTGTGCTTACAAGCCTGCATGCATTCCAGTCCTGTACAAGTTCAAAATGAGCTTTACACATATGTATTAGATGCACGCTAATTTGCGCTGCTCTTTTTTTCACAATACCTTCCATGTTTATTTTGTAATTGATGATACGTACAATGTGCCCAGTCTAGTGAATCCATACATGATGCAATGACATTGGAATAGTTTTAAATATTTTATTTTGGCTGCTGGAAATGCATCCCGAAAGAGGGATGCGTGTTCTCTCGGTTTGTGCCTCTCTGTGCGCATGGCCGTCTCTCTCTCCTCTCCGCTCTGTCTCCGTCTTTCTCCGAGTATATCTCTCTCTCTCCCTCTGTCTTTCTCTGTATCTTTCTCTGTATCTCTCTCTCTCTCCTCTCTCTCTCTCTCTCTCTCTCTCTCTCTCTCTCTCTCTCTCTCTCTCTCTCTCTCTCTCTCCTCGGGGTGGTAGCACATGTTTCAGCCCCCGCGGTGACCATCCCGATCAGATAGCCGTGCTAGTGCTGTGCAATGCACGCACTATTAAAAGTAGAACATCTTCAGGCTTGCACCGTATACCACCACCCCGCTGTGTATACCACCACCCCGCTGTGTATACCACCACCCCGCTCACCCCGCTGTAGTACTGGATGCGAAGGAACGCCCAATGCCCACGCTAGAAGCTAAAATTCAGAAATGCCAGTGATCGTGGACATGAGTAACAGTTGAGCAGAGGCAAGGGGTCTGGGGAAAGAGAACAGCTTTGAGCAGAGGCAAGGGGTCTGGGGAAAGAGAACAGCTTTGAGCGTTATGCCGGACATTGCAGAGAAGGAGTTCAAACTGCTGTACTACTACTATTGCGACATTCAAGGTGTCCCGCGGCCCAGACTAATAACACAAGACACGCAGTGCAGTAGCATGGACAAGCAAAACTCCCAAAATTAAATTTCACGGTTCGCGTGAGACTCGGCTGGAAGCCGGGTTTTCCGCATCCGTAGGAACGCCACCACCCTTCAAGGATCAAGGCGCAGATGCAGCTCCTAAAGCGGTGGGAGGTGAGTAGATCAGCTCACCACCAAGTGGTCAAAGACCGAAAATCCCATTCACTGCATCCATGTTTTCCTCGTGCCAGGCCACGAGTTCCCAATTAACTGTGGGTCGCAGCACGGCTGGAAAAAATCCTTCCGCTTCCAAAGTATCAGTTCAAACAGAATACGTCCACACACTACTTGCAAGCAGTGCACCTGCACAAATGCCTGTGACGCGCCAACGCTGCTCAAAGTCCCAGGTTACCATTCAAAAGTGGCAGGTCACTGCACGACCAAAGTGACAGGCCACTGCCCATGGTGCAAGGCACACTGTCCATAAATAATTGAAGGGAAAACCCAAAAGGTTTCAAATGTTCAAGAACCCATGTGAAAATATTCAAAAGGTTTTTACATAAAAAGGGGGACAATTCCATAATGATGTTAAACTTGTGTTATAGATGTACTTTGAACTTTACTTCTCAACTCCACTCCAGATGTACTTTGAACAGAAGAATCAGAGAGTCATGCAGGTGAAAATAGGAGCATTGCCAACCTGAAGCAAGGATTCCATGGTCATTGGCGTCCGATGTTACTGTACACACAGACAAACACGCATACACATGCACACACACACACACGCACACACACGCGCAGGCGCACACACACAGGCACATACATAGGCACACACATATACACACACACACACACACGCACGCATGCACGCACACACCACACAAACACACACACACAGACTTGTCATGTAAGCTCAATGAGTAGGTACATGCATGTGCAAACTCAACCTGTCGGATTGACAAAGGGAGACTCTAGGGACGAAAGGGCACTGAAGGGTGATATTTCCGATCCTATGTCAGATGCTGTTTACAAGCAATTTCGTATGATGTGCTTCAATTTTTAGGCCGTACTTTCCGTTATAATGTGGATTCCACTATACGTGAAGGAGGAGATACGGAAAACATTAGAACTGTGACTATGAGTTAGTGTGAACTGAGTAAGTTTCATACTACAGTAAAACCTGTGACTAACGAACATCCCTTGGGGTGAGAGGAAGCGGTCTTTAGTGACAGGTGGTCGTTAGTTAGAGGTTTGCATCGCACAATCATAAAAATTAATAATGAATGTGAGACCGTCCGTGCCTGCCGAAGTGGTCTGTAGTACCGGGCTGGCCGCTAGTCACGGTGGTCTTTACTGTAAACCGTGAAATTATTGCGATGGTCTAATTTCTGCGAAATTCGCGACCGTGTGGAAATCGCGAAATTTAGACAGCGCGAAAAGGAGATCCATGAAAAGTTTAGCAAGAATGCGACAGGTTTAGCAAGAATGCCATTCTGCAATCGCAAAATTAAAACCTCGCAAACCTGTCCGGATTCTGAAAACGCGAACTAAAAACGCCGCGAAAATTTCACGCTTTACAGTAGCTACAGGTTAAACCCGCTTTACTGTAGCGCAAGTAGCTTACTGAAGGTATAGAGGCCAGCTTCGTCTCCAGCAGCGCCATAGTGGTCTCGAGGCGACGTATGCGTCGATCCACATCAACCAGCTTCTCCTCGCACGTGTTGGACCAGTGGTTGAGCATGTTGGCCGTCTGCATGACGAAATGGTTGACGTAGGCCAAGATTCTCCGGTGGTGGATTGGCTCGACGGCTGTGAAGTCAATACCACCTCCCACCAGCGGGAGGCCATCACTGTCCATGATGGCGTAGGTCAACGCATTCAAAAGGGCTATCACTCTGACATAAATTTGTGCGCTGCTAGCCACAGCAAACCCGCCATCTCACTAAACAACCTTCCCACCTGTCATCAAACTGAACGCAGGCTGCCAAACTGTTTTCAAAATCAAACCTGTCAGCAGTCTAGTCAGATGACATGATGAAGCTTCTTTTTCAGTTTCCGATCTTTTCAGGAAAAAAGTCAGCATTTTTCGTGCTTGTTCAAAAAATACTTTTCTGTTGGGAAATCAAAGGCGTCAAAATACGGCGACTCCCACAGTCCCAGCTCACCTGACGCGGTACGCGGCACGGGAATCAATCAAAACTCAAAAGAACGAGGTATATTATGGCACCGCAGGCCGCGCACCTGAGGGCCTTTCTGGAAGCCTTACTCGATCGGATAGAGCGAAACTGAGCACCCTGGGATGCGAGCAGTTTTTAGTACTCCCGGGTCCAAAATCTCACCACCAGGCCGGGCTGATCAAAACGTCTGCCGGGTCTGCAGCCTACAAACGTGGATCTGCCGACACTGTGCTGTCGACGACATGTCCCGCAAGGCATCTTGCGTGAAAGCAAGGAACGCTTTTTTTAGAAAGGAAGCTTCTTCCCCAAAATTTAAAAAATTTGAAAATTATTCCTTCTGAAAATATCATCGCGCTCTTGACCTCGAAGCTGACTGCTGAATGCGATTAGGAAAGAAGATTCCTGAAGATGCACCAGACTGATTCTGGCAAGCTGTCTGTCGTCTGGATATGCACTGTTGTTCGTTATGGTCAGCAATCTTCTTCGTTCGTCCTTTCGTTTTCCTGACCACGATGATGACAAGCAGCTCTCATGCTCAGGTTAGTGCTACTTGTATGTCTGGGCACACAACACATCTGAGATGCACCCACTGACGTTATCGAACTGAAGAATGCAGCAAGGGTTCCTCGGATTCTCTTGATTTCGGAACAAATTTCCTTCACTTTCACCCTCTCAGTCTCTCCCCCATGCCCTCCATGCATGCACAGTGGAGCTTGCATTTCAAATGTTGTTTTTATACTTTGGCAGTGCCTCTGCTACACTTTCATACAGAGTGAGGTCCTGTAAATAGGATCCAACATTGTTGGTGGTGGTGTGTGTGTGTGTGGGGGGGGGGGGGAGGTATGTTTGCAGCCAGGATGTAGGAATGACACTTCTGCGCAGCAGGTGGCAATAGTCAGAACTGGTCACTCTACAAATCCCATACCTGCCAACCTTTGCAAACCTGAGATCGAATGACATACCTAGGCATGAAAATGTATACAAATATACCTCGCGGTGATGCATGGAACTAATGCTCTTTTGGGTGCCTATTACCGCCCTCGATGTCGGGATGGTTGTTAGCAAGAGTAGATAAACAAGAGTGTGCAACTCGCGGATGGGTTGGCCCACGGCGGAATTTTTTGTTGACGTAATCTTTTCGACGACGCACGCGCTGCGAGCCTTTGGAGAGTTTTCCCTTGTGCACTTGGCTGGGCTTTACACGTACGTACAAGCTGCAAGGTCGGTGCCCAGCACGTGCTCTCACACTGCTCTGCGGCAGAATCCGCGTTTCTCTGAAAAAAGGTGACGTAAACAAAAAATTCTGCAGATTGTGCAGGAGAGATCCGGAGTTGCACACTCTTGTTTATCTACTCTTGTTGTCAGGTATGAAATCCCAACCGAGAAAACCATTTAATTAGAAGATAAACTCGGCTGGAACACCGCTTTTCTGGGAATAGAAATTTGTTGTGCCACTTTCGGCTAGTCCTTTTTGCAGAAGTGATTCAGTGCCTCCTCAATGCTGTATGAGGGCCAGGACATAGCAACTTTCTGTATGCCGGGGGGGGGGGGGTCATCGTCCGCAACATTGGTAGAGTTACAGTTACATTGTATATGTAGATACATACGTGATTTTTGGACTCGCCTCCAGGGATTTGTCGTAAGCTGGGGCACGCGTACGTGAAACAAGTGGCAAGAAAGGCCCAGTTCGTACAAGGGAGTAGTAAAATACTGGTATTTTTCTGTTCCTATGTTCCCACGACGAGTCCTCTGTGCACTGAGTGCAGGTCTCTTGCCGCTCCCTGGTCCCCGGTTCACGTGACGTTTATCGAATAAGGTCTACATGTATATGCGGGCATGCATAAATCAACCCTTCCACAAGGACGGCTCAAACAGGCAGCCAAGGAGTGAAAATTTCGCTCCTGGGGCTAGGGGTGAAACGAAGGCCTCAATTTGCCAAATGAACCTTCTCCATCGAAACGAACGAAGGTGTCGAATAATTCTTTTACCAGTTCACAGTTCCTGTTCACGCGCACTCCCGGGGGGGGGGGGGGGGGGCTACTATGCACTTGTAGTGACACTTACCGTAAGCCAAGTGGACCACGACTAGTTGACTGTACAGACTACAGTACAGTATACATGCACATGTATACAGTGAAGATCAGTGCATGGATGCCTGCCGTAATCGTATGTTGACCTTCGTTCGAATTGAAAAGAGAGGGTCGTTTCGAAAAAGAAAGAAAAAAGCTCAATGGAAGTATGATGCTGCTGACAATTCAAGACTCACTGAAGTCGCCTTTCTGGAATGGATCATGCGCTCTAGGTTCATCCAATTGGAAATGGACTCAATCAGTGTTACACCATTCTTGTTTGGTTAGTTATTCTACATCCCATAGCATGTACAATCCAACTTGTGAATAATGTACCTCGGGTTTACAAAACAACTCGCAAGTAACAATCTTCAGATCTAGTGACCATTTGATTGCATACTTCCAACCTCACGAGTAACAACAATACACCAATAGCGACACTTTTTTCATTCACATTCGAGGGTCAGTATTCCCCAGGTTGACTGCAATTGCCAATCAAACAGGAGGGGCGAAAGTCGACCACGGCTGAAAAGGCGTAAAGAAAATGTATGTCATGGGCTATATGGCAGAAGGAAGAAGTAGGTTTTCTGAGAAAGCAAGAAACAGAGGTGAATGAAGCACCAGGTCTGTCCATGCAGTGGATAGAATTATTGGATTGAAAGACAGGCTCTTTACGTCAGCTTGCTACTATTATACCTACATTTATTATTTTTATTTTTATTATGACGGATAAACCAAAGGCAATGGTTTGCTTTCTGCCTTTTTCATGCAGGATTCTGAAAGCTGGAGCAGCTCTGCTTACCCCGACCACTGAACTTACAACTAACTTCCAACCAAGTTCAACGCAGTATCATGATGAATCAAGCACGCTTGCCATCATTTCATCATTGCAAAGTACATCGACAGTATAGATTTGGTGCTGACTATGTATGATGCAGAGTGTGCTCTATGTATCTATACTACTGATTGGCCTACATTATACTTATGTGGGCTGAGAGTAATCGATTGTGCTGTATGGCAGTTTACTTGCATGTCATAGATGTTCACATTGCACACAGCTACTGAATTGCTTTCTGTTGCACTGCCCTACTGCGGCCCACTGCAAATAGATTGTAGTGGCATGGGCCATGCCATCATTATAGTGGTATACCGGTACTACACCAACAGTTTCACTAGTACACTGTACTTACTGGTGGATCTACATCATGCACAGCCTTGTCACTGCTTTTCTCACTTTTTATTAATTTACTGTACTGTACACATTTTGGCACAGCTCTTCCACAAAGAGTTACTATTATTTTCTTCTGCATACCTACTGTATACAGTGACCTGACTGGTAACATCTATGGCTGTGAAATCACAAATTTCTGGGTTGACAGCCTCAAACCTATACGATTTGTTTCTAAGAACGTGCTATAAGAAGTATTCTATTAAAGTATTCTACTGGAGCTCGCAGGACATGGAGTGAGTTTGGAACACCACTCACTCTTCTGTGATTTGGATGTCAAATTATGAAATTCAGTTTGTGAGGTAAACCCATGCATGGCATTCACTGCTATAGTATGACTCGGGGTAAAGTGTTCCAACGCATACTCATTATAGTGAATAGTTGTGTGTCAGTTAATCGGTGCCCAACGTTGTTGCTGCTGGATAAATAAATATTCTGAGATAACTGAAGCTACACAGCCATCTAATGTTCAAACATGCATGCATCGAAGGGGCCGTAACGAGATCTGCAAGGCATGATTCTATACCTATATTCGATGCTCTCTAGCAGGACATTCATCTGCCTCATTTTCTCTGTGCTGCATTGATGAGCGAAACAGCATGCTGTCCGCAGATCGAGTATTGTGTATAGACAGACGTGTATGTAGTGGTAAAGCTCAAATACATGTACAACATGACAATCAATAACAATCCCCGTGTTTTACAACAGCACAAACCCAGCACCACAATTCTTAAATTTGGGCTGTGGTGTTCTTAGTATTCCAGGCTGGATGTTCTAGGCTTCCACGCTCTTGGGCGCACGACTTTACTGTGCCGAAGAATATTTTCAGCCAATGAACCCAGAGCTTGGTGGCATGGTGCCATGGAACAGCCTTTTGCATGTGGCTTTCACTACATGCACATGTACAACGTTCAATTGCTGCGGAAAAATCAGACAAGGACTTTTGCAGTTATGAGCAAGGTCCCCACGAATGGTCATGTCACTTCACAGAATACATGAACTGATAGAGTAGACCTCGGTCCCCTCAGAGAACGCTTGGGTGAAGTCGGTTTCAACTGAGGACATGTCCAAAACCATGCTAAGTACTTGAGCTGCTCATGAACCCCACAATTATCAGGCCCACCGGAACCGGTCTGGTTGGTCGGGTTATCACCGGACCAACTTGTTGGCCACCAACAAATGTTTCCTGCTCTGGAGGACGTGTGTACCCGCCATATCACACACAAAGTATAAAAGGCCATGAAACTACCAGATCAGATCGACCGATCAAAAACTGCTTCCGGCGGTACTGATTATACAGTACAGGTTTAAAAAGCAGCTCCATTTTTGTCATACATCAAACCAACTCTGTCATTGCTATGCTACTCAAAAAGAGTAGTGATGTTTATTCACAAAAGAATCACAATGCTAGCAGAGAAATTCGATATTCTCCAATTTTAGGGGCACTAAAGTACTATGCAAAAATTAATGCCGCATGGTCATTGTTATGAAGCAGTCACCTCAGTACAGCAATTAAACAGGCTGATTATGTGAACGAGATTCACGGCAAATCTTCTTCCATCAGTGCTGTTCAGTCTTGAGTGGTCCACTGAGGCAGGAAAACAACCTGTTCGGTCCTTCCATACGAGAAACAGAAATTGAACATGTTCCAGGGTGGAGGTGGCGAGCATCGGCAATGTAATGCACCTTTAGGCCAACACGACCATCATTCCGACATGGATTCTCAAACACCTTCGCTCGTGAGAGTGCCTCAGAGTGGTATTCATCAACAGATGGCAATCCTGTAAAACACATGAAAAGACATAGCAGCAACACAAAGAAACCTAATGTTATAGAAACAAATTCGAAAAACAAAGTCTACTGAACCAAGGTACAACCACACTCCAGGAGGCAAGCAAAAGTGCATATAATCCGAAGGTTGCGATGCCTGTATGTATTGTATTCATTGATTCATGGATTCTCCACAGGCCTTAGCCTAAATCGAGGGAGTCTCTGTCATGCCACACTGGATACAACATGCTACCAGAATCACTTTCCCCAGTATTGATGATCTTTTCTTAGGGTGTTATATAAAACACACCTGTAGCCACTTCATCTTGCTCACGAAATCATACACCACCACACAAACGGGCCCTTTGGCTATTATAATTTGGGTGGTGATGTATGATATTGATAATCTATTGATACTAGGGCTGAAACGATTATATCGGTTATCCGTCTAATCGATCATTACAAGGAAACGATTTCGATTACGCTGTCTGTTTCGATTACGCGATTCTAAAAAAAAGAAACGTCTGCAAGAATCAAAAGATGTCATGTACAGCACTACTAGATACTGTACTTTGTCCTTTTCCTCGTTTCTTTTTGTTGTCCATATGTTTTCCAGTAGGGCTGTGAAAAAAAAACTGACTGTCTGCACCTGCACGTGATGTGCCACTGCATTGCGTAGAGTACGCGGTTTATCTGCACGTGTGTATGTACATGTATATGTGTATATTTCAACACGGCATGCTTTGTGCTGGTCTGGCGAGACAATTTCTAGGACGCAGTAATCAATAACCATAATCGATAATCGAATCGATACAAGGGTAGGTTAACCGATAGTTGAAAAGTGTAATCGTTTCACCCCTAATTGATACCATATCCAAGTCTGACTCTCACCGTGAGATCCTCGCAGCAATATTACCTGGTACATGACATATTCAGACACTGACGTAAGCATCTTTTTGGAACAACACGTGTGCCTATCTGCTAGTGTAATGTGACACACATGCAGAATCAGTCATAGCTAATTTTACCCCCTCACTGTTGTATGCGCAGACTCCACTTTGCGGTGTCAAGTACTCTTCTTTCGGTGGGCTACTTCACTAAGGCGCTTGTCTAAAAGGACTCACGTTCATCCTACAAACCTACACGACTTGCATAGTTTTCACTGTCGGCCGAAGTCCATGCATTGCACACATTGAGATTCACTCCCTCCGTACAGGCCAGTACAGAGCTGCCCACCAATTGAGTCTGTTTTGCGTACTCAGACTTCTGATTTTCCGTATCTTGCAGTGTTTTGCGTACTGCCGTGTACATTGCATGCATACTTGCACTATAAAGTTTTTTGACACGCACATGCATGTCGTAGGCTGCATTTGGTAGTGTAAAACATGTGTGACTTGCACTCACGACATTATTTTTTGTGCTACATGTACATGTTGTCGTGGTACGGCATGCACTCACTTTGGTACAGTCGTCCCTCTCTAATCCGGCACTTTATAATCCAGCACCCTCGATAAACCAGCACAATTTTCAGTAGCCAAAATGTCCTCTTCATGCACATTGCAGCAGTAAATCAGATTTGTTAATCCAGCACCCTCCCTAATCCAGCAGATTTTCGTGGCACAAATGGTGCCGGATTATAGAGGGACCACTGTACAAGACTATTCATCGCTCAGCTTACACTTGCAATGCTTCTACACAGCTGATTGATCCTCTTCGATTTTCTGTACCATTTGCCCAAATTCTGTAGTGCGAACAAGGAGTGATTTTCCGCACAAATACAGAAAAATATTTTCATTTTTTTCAGTCATTTTCACGACATATTTTCTTTATCATGATCCCCGGGGTGTACGTGTGGCGTTCTTACGAACGCGGAAACGCAGTCTTTCTAACCGAGTCTCACGTGCACTGTGAATTTGTTCTTCTTTTATTCACAATGCCATGTATCGATTCATCGCTTCTTCGCACCTGAGATCCTGTGCAACAGCGATTTAAAGATTAGCTTTATCAATAGTGATCAGAGAGAGAGAGAGAGGATCAGTTGTGGGTGCTGTGACAGCATAGAGTGTAGATTGGTGCAAACATCATTGCCCAGTAGAACAGTATTCATAATAATAGGGACCTGCGTTTAGCCGTAATGATTACATTTTGGAAGCTATTTTTTAGAAATTTTACAGGCCCAATAAGCCTGAAGAGAAGAACACCTAACTTAGACTGTCCTAACGTTATCGAACGCACTGCCAAAGTAAAAAAAAACATTTGAAATGCAAGCTCCATTGTGCATGCATGGAGGGCACATGGGGAAGAGACTGAGAGGGTGAAAGTGAAGGAAATTTGTTCCGAAATCAAGAGAATCCGAGGAACCCTTGCTGCATTCTTCAGTTCGATAACGTCAGTGGGTGCATCTCAGATGTGTTGTGTGCCCAGACATACAAGTAGCACTAACCTGAGCATGAGAGCTGCTTGTCATCATCGTGGTCAGGAAAACGAAAGGACGAACGAAGAAGATTGCTGACCATAACGAACAACAGTGCATATCCAGACGACAGACAGCTTGCCAGAATCAGTCTGGTGCATCTTCAGGAATCTTCTTTCCTAATCGCATTCAGCAGTCAGCTTCGAGGTCAAGAGCGCGATGATATTTTCAGAAGGAATAATTTTCAATTTTTTTAAATTTTGGGGAAGAAGCTTCCTTTCTAAAAAAAAGCGTTCCTTGCTTTCACGCAAGATGCCTTGCGGGACATGTCGTCGACAGCACAGTGTCGGCAGATCCACGTTTGTAGGCTGCAGACCCGGCAGACGTTTTGATCAGCCCGGCCTGGTGGTGAGATTTTGGACCCGGGAGTACTAAAAACTGCTCGCATCCCAGGGTGCTCAGTTTCGCTCTATCCGATCGAGTAAGGCTTCCAGAAAGGCCCTCAGGTGCGCGGCCTGCGGTGCCATAATATACCTCAAAGGACTGTAGATCAAGAATCAAGATAAACAGGCGAAGCTCGGGCGCGTGCAGCGGGGCGGAGATCTACCAATAAATTATTTCGTAAATACACGTCCCGGTTCTGCAGTTTTGGCAAGATCTTAGGAGTACATTGGGTTTGGGACTCCTACTACCACAGTAATAGCTAGCTGTCCAATAGTAGCCTGCAATACTGCCAATAGCATTTTAGGACGCTCACGGACAAACGACCGGCTCTTCTTCGACGAGATATTTTGTTTACAAGGCTGGAAAATAAAACTCATTTCAAATGAAAGCACGTACAGGAATTCGACTACCGCTGGTTGCGGCCGCTCTTCTGGTGCTGTGTTTGGGAGACGTTTGGGGCGAGCAGAGGATTATTGAGAATGTTGACAATGCTGCTGGTAGCGCGGACAGCCAGCCTGATTTCGTGCAGGGGGATCCATCTAAAGTTCCCCCGCGACCCAGGTCACCCGATAGTCCACAGCCGGGAATGTCACTGAAGGTAAGCAGTGGGGATATCGAGTGTACCGGTCAATGAATGTATAACAGATCCCTACCATATATTCAACAAGGGACATCGTTGGGCCCAACACTTGTTCAAATTTCAATTAAAATTAAATTTTAAAAAATTGTGATCGTATGCACTGCACCAACTTCAGCTTCCTGCATGCGCATATCATAAGGCTACCAAAGGGCATGTTCGATTGGTAGGATCGGGATCCCGATCCACCGGATCCACTGGATTCGCACCCTTTCGATTGGTCGAATCCGGATCCGGATCCTTCGGATTTGGATCCGGTCAACCCACCTCGGGGAGCAGGGTTGACCGGATCCAACGGATCCAAATGTGACCTTTGTGCGTATATGGCGGGTAAAAATCATTTTTGTACACATTGTGGTACGCACACGTGGGTGGAGATAGAGCTTGTTGACTTTTGGTACGACGCACGCGATGAGTACGACGTTCACCCCTTTTGGGTGACTTGTGAGCGCCATTGTCGACATGGTAACAGTCAAGGTCCAAAATAAAGTGTTCAGTTGAATCTGAAGGATCCGAAGGATCTGAGATCTGGATCCCGATCCCGATCCTTACCAATCGAACATGCCCTAAATTCGTTGTTTCGGGTCACCCGACCGACCGTCATTTTTCACCCAACCACAACGTGTTTTGTTTTTTTTGTTCTGAGGCTTTGTACTAGTCTACATGTACCGTAAAGTACCGTTGATCTGCCCCGCCCCCCCCCCCCCACATGTGCACCATGTCGCTTCTCAGCTGGGTTTTCGGCAGGGGGCGGAGATTAGATCAAGGCTGTCAAGTGCAGTACGATGTACAACAACGTGGAGGATCAGACTCGCTATGCTGAATTGTGCACATTTTTATCCTGCACTGGCACGTATTGTGTACAGCAGTGCATGCGTCGGTTCACCATTGTATTTCGTTGTATACGCCGAAGTCACTTCACAGGTAGAAAATCGACAGGGGGTGGAGCAACGGTATTTTACGGTGTGCATGAGCATGTTCGATTTGTAGGATCGGATCCAGATCAACCGGATCCACTGGATTCACACCCTTTCGATTAGTCGAATCCGGATCCGGATCCTTTGGATTTGGACCCGGTACCCGGTGAGCCCACGTCTGGGAGCAGGGTTGACCGGACCCAACGGATCCAAATGTGACCTTTGTGCGTATATGGTGGGTAATCCGGATCCACTGGATTCGCACCCTTTCGATTGGTTGAATCCGGATCCGGATCCTTTGGATTTGGACCCGATGAACCCACGTCTGGGAGCAGGGTTGACCGGACCCAACGGATCCAAATGTGACCTTTGTGCGTATATGGTGGGTAAAAATCGTTTTTGCACACATTGTGGTACGCACACGCGTGGATCGAGATTCTCTTGTTGACTTTTCGTACGACCCGCGCGAGCGCGATGAGTACAACTTTCACCCTTTTGAGTGACCCGTGAGCGCCATTGTATTACTTCGTCGACATGGCAACAGTCAAGGTCCAAAATAAAGTGTTCGGTTGAATCTGAAGGATCCGACGGATCTGAGATCTGGATCGCGATCCCGATCCTAGCAATCGAACATGCCCTATAATACATGACTGTATACACGCACAATCCAAATGATCCTACAGTCCATTCAGAAAAAGATGATATCCTAGCTTTTGGCCATAAATGGGTCCAAATTTTGAGTTTTTGTCACAATTTTTTGGGCAATCCCCATGGAATGCTCTTCCAATTGTGTTTTTGAAGTCTATTTCTCCAAAGAGCAAGCCATAACAAGAACAGGGTTTCGGCCAGGTTTTGCCCCCAGAGCACTGAATTGGGGAAAAGCCATGAAAATCCAACCCCGCACTCCACTTGCAGAACAGTACATTTGCGGTTCAAACCCCAGTTGAGGTACCTTTTTTAAGTTTCGAATCTCGCGGCACTGGCAAAATCACCAAACATGGGAGCTCTCCAGAGCCAGCGCTCATCTTTTTCTGAATGGACTGTAGCCCTGTGGACGAAAACAGCAAGGAGCAAGGAATGCTTCCTGAGGCGTAACTTTACTCTTTAGGCTGCAAGCATTCTCACATTTCAATTTCGCTTCGACGGAGCATTGTTCAGAGCAGGCAGCGACGGACGAAATTGAACATGTTCTAACAATCCCAGCGGTGTTTGCGTCCGTGTTAGACGGGACACAACGTTCTCCCAACGGCAGGGACTTTCGTTTTGAAAGCTTCCAGACCGTGACTATGAGGATTAAAACTATTTTGATTTAAGAGCCCAGCACCAGCATCAGCTCCGCCACCTTGTGTTGCTCATTAGAGAGTTTACGGCTTTACGCTTCACGTTTTTTTTAAAAATTTCGAACGTGAGATCTCACGGCCAAAATGGCGCTGCTCACGTTGCAACGTGAGATTTCAACGCGACAGAGGGCCAACTCACGGCGAAAAAAGCGATTCAACGGACATTTTTTTCTCACGTTCGAAATTGGAAAAAACCGGAAGCGTAAACTCTCTATTGACAGATATTTTTTGGTGAGAGCTGCTCGTCAGACTCCTTTGCCGGTGAGGCCAAGATCTAGTCCTGCTGGGACAATGACAGCGCTGGATTGTCTACGGTCAGATTTGATCGCTGTGACTGGCTCGATGGACGAAAGCTTGGATATTCGATACTAGTATGCACAATCTACTAGAGTACGATAGTCATACCGTATTTCCCCGATTATAAGTCACACTTGATTATAAGTCGCAGCCCATTCTCACGTCCGAGCCAAATCGTATTTCCCCGATTATAAGTCACACTTGATTATAAGTCGCAGCCCATTCTCACGTCCGAGCCAAATCGTCTCAATGCATTCATATAAGTAAGAAGTCACACTCGATTGTAAGTCGCACCTCCTTATTTGCCCCTGAAGTTTAGTTTAAAACGGTTTGACTTACAATCGGGGAAATACGGTACGGGTACATGACATAATGTTACATGTATGCATGGCAGAAACCATGGCGGAAACAAACAAACACGAAACAACAACAAAACGACCGACCCTGGTATTGCTAAGTGAAGTGACCAGAAATAAGAATGAATTCTGGGTGGCCCAGTTATGTCATGTTTTCAGGAAGTTAGTGTGCACGTCCCTTGTTGACGAGAAAAACTGGACCACCACAAGCACACCGAAATACGATAAAAGTATTTTCATATCTGGAGTGCAATATACATCCAGGTAGGTGCGCTTGAAAGTGTGGCTTGCCGTATGTTGTGGGTGCTGAATGCACTATTGTTGAGACCGTGGCAGGTAATCCAGCTTGAGCCTGTCCCGGGTTTTTTTTGTCGTCATTCTGGTTGGATGTGACAAATGGGATTTCGGCCTTTGGCCGCTGGTTGGTGGATCTGATCTATCCTCCCGCACCGTTTAGGAGCCGCATCTGACACCTGATCATGGGGTGGTGGAGTCCCACGGTAGCAGAAAGGTGGTTCTTGGCCCGCCCTGTATCCGTGCACATGTTTTTCTTGTCTTCGTTTTTTTCTGTTCTGGTTGTACTGGCTGATCAAGGTGCCCAAGCTGACTCCGGAGGAGGAGCACTCCACCAACCTACCGTCCGGCATGAAGTGCGACGCATGCCAGGCGGTCGTCTATCAGATGGTGGAGCAGCTCAAGTTGCGCGAGAGCAAGCAGGTGAGCGACTCCCGGGGCAAGATGTTGCTGACAGCCGTGCAGCGCACGCCCGATTTAAACTGTCTCACCGATACTATTGTTCTCGTATAGATTTCTAAGCTATTGAATGACTAACACCCTATTTGGGATATTTTATGCACGAAATGATCACAGATGTTTGTGCTATAGATGCTGGCCTAACAGTTGTTTGAAACCAGAGGTCTATACTTTTGAAACGCACTATGGAAACCAGAGGTCTATACTTTTGAAACGCACTATGGAAACCAGAGGTCTATACTTTTGAAACGCACTATGGAAACCAGACTACATGGTTAGGGCACGGGTCACATGCAAGAACTGGAACTTTTTCCGACTTTGAGCAGTACCAAGAGGACATAAACCAGAGTGTGCAACTGTTCACATCGGATCTGAAACCAGCGCAGTTTGTGCGCTACGTCACCCTGATGAGATCAGCCAAGTCGCGACTCGTGTACAGCTCGCATTTTTGTGTTTCACAGCCCGCAAATCAGCCAAGTGTGCATGGTTTTAGACGTCCCGTTTTAGGGTTTCGGTGTTTTTTGTGTGACTGTGTACGCTCCGTACATCCGCTGTCAAGTAAAATCACCCGACTGTCCGTATAAAAAATAAAAAAACGAAATCAGCACAAACTCAGTGACCTGCACCACCGCGACTGGTTACGCAACTTTTCACCGTACAAGTGGCTTACCATGCCGTCAGAAATTGCATACTGCACGGATTACGCTCCCACAGGAACCGTCCTGAGTTGCACACTCTGGTTTATGTGCTCTGGACATTACTTGTATGGAGTGGTTCATTTCTTGGGGCATGTTCGATTGATCGGGATCCCGATCCACCGGATCCACTGGATTCGCACCCTTTCGATTGGTCGAATCCGGATCCGGATCCTTCGGATTGGGATCCGGTCAACCCACCTCGGGGAGCAGGGTTGACCGGATCCAACAGATCCGAATGTGACCTTTGTGCGTACATGGCGGGGAAAAGTCATTTTTGTACACATTGTGGTACGCACACGTGGATGGAGATAGAGCTTGTTGACTTTTTGTACGACGCACGCGATGAGTACGACGTTCACCCTTTTGGGGTGATTTGTGAGCAGCATTGTCAACATGGCAACAGTCAAGGTCCAAAACGAAGTGTTCAGTTGAATCTGAAGGATCTGAGATCTGGATCCCGATCCCGATCCTTACCAATCGAACATGCCCTTGGAGCATGCCTAAACTGGTTGCCCAAACAAGATTTGATGTCAGAAGTCTTTCCAATTCTCACCAGTATCATTACTTTTGAATTTAATGTAATGATGCAAGCCTAATTAGCTAAACAGTGCCCCAAGCCCCAATATGGGCTTTTCTGTAAGCGCAGGTTTGGGAATTCTTTCAAACAAGATTTGGTGTTAAAAGTCTTTCCCATTCTCACCGGTGTCCTTATTTTGAACTAAATGCAATGACATTTTCGTGTATGGCCTAAACAGTGCCCCAAGCCCTAAAATTGGCTTTCCTGTAAGCGCAGGTTTGGGAATTCTTTCAAACAAGATTTTGGTGTTAGAAGTCTTTCCCATTCTCACCGGTGTCCTTATTTTGAACTAAATGCAATGACATTTTTCGTGTATGGCCTAAACAGTGCCTCAAGCCCTAAAATTGGCTTTCCTGTAAGCGCAGGTTTGGGAATTCTTTCAAACAAGATTTGGTGTTAGAAGTCTTTCCCATTCTCACCGGTGTCCTAATTTTGAACTAAATGCAATGACATTTTTCGTGTATGGCCTAAACAGTGCCCCAAGCCCTAAAATTGGCTTTCCTGTAAGCGCAGGTTTGGGAATTCTTTCAAACAAGATTTGGTGTTAGAAGTCTTTCCCATTCTCACCGGTGTCCTTATTTTGAACTAAATGTAATGAGAATTTTGTTGTGTATGCCTAAACCGTGCCCCAAGCCCTAAAATTGGCTTTCCTCAGTTTCCTGTAAGCGCAGGTTTGGGAATTCTCTCTGTCTTTGCGTGTGCCCTGATTGATTCCCCGGACCATAGTTGACCCTGTCAAAGCACAAGAGCCCTTTACGGCTCTGGCTGGTATCCTTAAGTGGATTGCACTGGGGGTCACGCCTAAATTGGTTCCCCGAATCATAGTGGGTTCTGTACTGGGGGTGTGCCTGAACTGGCTCCACAAATCATAGTGGGTTCTGTACCAGCATGAGTGCTTGTCTGGCTGTCATTGGTATCTGTAAATGAATTGGGCATATGTCTAACCTGATTTCCCTAGCCCTTGTCCTGTCAAACCAGAGGAACTTTTTCCGGCTCTGGCTTTTGTCCATAAGTGGATTGCATGTGGGGAGGTATACTTAACTTAAACTGCCTCCCAAACCATTGTGCAACCTAAAGCATGAGCAGCCTAAAATGCTGCAAAACTCTCATCATTTCATGGTGATTTTAAGTATTTTGTTCAAAAATGATTGGTTCGTTGATTGATTGATTTTTATTTAAGGATTGTCCAAAGGCCGCAGAGGCCTATCAAACGCACCTGACCTAAGGGGCCGTCCGCAAATATCGAACTTTTTTCACCAAACGAATTATTTTAGTTTAGACCCAACCCCTCCCTCCCTCCCCCTCAGAACGTAAAAATTGTTGACATATACCTGCATATACATGTACAACAAAACCCGCAAGTGTGTACATGTAACTGCTCCTATGGCCATGTACATGTATCGAACTTTTCTGAAACGAAATTGGTCAACCCCCTCCCACCCCATAACGAAATTATTTCGTTTCGTGAAAAAAGTTCGATAATTGTGGACGACCCCTAATGTTCACTGTCTGAAAGTTTTGTGTTGATCTGACATGTCTAAGTGTTGCTCACTTCATCGTGCCACTCTTTCTCTCTGTCTCTCTGTCTCCTTGTCTATCTCTCTCTCGCTCTCTCACTTTCTCTCTCTCACTTTCTCTCTCTCTCTCTCTCTCACACACACACTTACACACACACACGCGTGCGCGTGCGCATCCACACTTTCCTGGCGTTTATACAGCTATCCAAGGAGAAAGGCAAGCCATTGCGCGAGTCCCAGTACCTGGAGGTGTTTGAAGATCTGTGCAATGGCGAGTGGAGTGGCTACGGGGTCAAGGATGTTGACGGCATTCACATGCTCTCTGGCCCCGGTCTCTCCGCTGAGGGTCACATGTCAATGATGTATGGAGGTAAGGGCTTAGCTCGGCCATCAGGACTTTGGCCTCGTTCGATTCTCATGTTTCCACTGATCTCAAGGTCTGCTTGCGAGGGAGTGGAGGCGTTGCTGGGCTCCATCTCCAGGAGTTGTGTCCACTGATCTCAAGGTCTGCTTGCGAGGGAGTGGAGGTGTTGCTGGGCTCCATCTCCAGGATGTATACACCAGTTTGTGTGCTGTTGCAAGGCGTGTTGTTGTTAGCAACAAGTGTTGTTGTTAGCAACAAGTGTTGTTGTTAGCAACAAGTGTTGTTGTTAGCAACAAGTGTTGTTGTTAGCAACAAGTGTTGTTGTTAGCAACAAGTGTTGTTGTTAGCAACAAGTGTTGTTGTTAGACTGATGTCTTTGATACTTTTTATTCTCACGATTGTCCGTGACCAATAAGAGATGTTGTTGTTGTTGCTGTTGCTGTTGCTGTTGCTGTTGCTTTTGTTGTTGTTGTTGTTGTTGTTGTTGTTGTTGTTGTTGTTGTTGTTGTTGTTGTTGTTGTTGTTGTTGTTGTTGTTGTTGTTGTTATTCTTTATTTTCACGATGGCCCATGGCCAATAAGGAAATTGTTGTTGTTGTTGTTGTTGTTGTTGTTGTTGTTGTTGTTGTTGTTGTTGTTGTTGTTGTTGTTGTTGTTGTTGTTGTTCTGCCAGGTGGCATGTGGCCACGGCGACTTAATAAGAAGTGCGGCCAGATTGTGGAAGACATGGGAGAGGATGAGCTTTACCAAGCCTACTACTCCATGAAGGACAAGCCATCGGGTATCAACCCACTCTTGTTCTGCAAGACCATACTGCCGGATTGCAAGACAAAGGCGACCCAGAAGAAGAAGTCTAGCAAGCAAGAGCTGTAGAACTCTGCAAGTGTGCGCGCGCGAGTATGTGTGTATGCTCGTCTGTGTGTGCGTCGTTTGTGTGTGTGTGTGTGTGTGTGTGTGTACTGTGCTGTGCGTGCCTGGGCATCTTGGCCCGGATGGCTGGTATAAAAGAGGATCTGTCACTTGTGGAGCTCTGCAAGTGTGCACGAATGTGTGTGTGTGTGTGTGTGTGTGTGTGTGTGTGTGTGTGTATGTTCGTCCGTGTGTGCGTGTGTCTGGACGTCTTGGCCCGGATGGCTGGTATACAAGAGGATCAGTCACTTGTGCGTCTGCAAGACTGCAGGAGAGGACGAATCTGTTTCCAGCAGCTGCTCATTTGTTTCCGCCCATCCGCTGGTTTCTTTCTTTATAGTTGTTTTGCTGCTGTTGCTGCTGTCCTTGCCAATAACTGACAGTAGTGAGGCACTAAACACCAGCTGTGCGCTTCGAGCATTCTGTTGCGATAACGCGTCAGATATCCACGATAAGGTGCGGGAAATGCTCGTGTTGTCCCCCCCCCCCCCCCCCCGCATGCTGAAACGAGATCATGTGCTGCATCCTGATCGCAACGCAAAGGCGTTGGTGTTATTGCTTATGGCGGAGCGGTGTCTGTGTGCATCACTCAGCTTTGAATTTTTTATTGTATTTTGAATTACGAAATTCGTGCCTCATATTACGAGGGTATTTTTCCCGCTCAAATATTATGAGCTTACGAACTTACGGATCTATTTTGAATTTTTGTGATCTGTTATTTTGTGATCTTTTTCGAATTTTGTACTTCAAAGTAGGGATTTTATTTTCCTTTCTGGCCAGGATAGGTGGCTTTCTTCTTTCTCTTCTCTCTTTCGAGCTTCTTTGTAGACGATATAGGTTTCACATTCTAGTTCTGCTCGTATTTTTTCGCCGAATAGCCGGTAGCTGCGGATGGTTGTGTTATTTACTCTCAGCCTGCAGACAGAACTGTTTTATTGGTTGTGTTATTTATGTTGAATTAATAATAATTCCAAATTATATCAAGATGGATTAATAACTTTCACGTAATCAAGTGATGTGCTTCACTGTCCGAAGAGTGCTCAATACCCATGTAGGGTAGAGCCTTGTACACAAGAGAGAGATTGGAAGCTTTGTCACAACTAGAGCCTTGTACACAAGAGAGAGATTGGAAGCTTTGTCACAACTCCGAGTTTCACGTATTACGTTACTACGATCATCAGGCAACTGGCAACTTTCATATTGTTTTGTCGGCGTGTACTGTTGAGATAATACCCCGGTATACTCACAACAATTGTGTTGCTTGCCGCATGTACTGTTAGGGGTCGTTTACATGAGAAAAAATATGCCCTAGGGGATAATAGTACTGCTCGGGGGTCAAGGGCAGGGCTAGCTCAGCTCGGTTAGGGCTAGGTCAGCTCGGTTAGGGCTAGCTCAGCCCGGGGCGAGCTGAATAAGCCCGCCACAGCATATGACTGGACGACAGATCAAGGCGGGCTTGTCTTAACACTAGGTTTAAATAAGCCCGGGCTTATTTTCTCATGTAAACGGACGAATCGTAAAATACAATTTTGGTATTTTTTACGACTCTCTGGTTTGAGCTTGCGCATTGTCGCGCTGCGACTTTGACAAAGCATTTCAACCAGTGATGTAACGTTAATCGCATGACCTCATATTCCTTGAATCCCGTGCAATGCCAAACACTAGTCACCCTAGCCCTCACCATGTACCATGGCTCTAGAGGATGTTTTAGTGTAGTGGATCAACGCTAATTCGAAGCCACAGAATCCCTAATAGACGATTCAGGCTACGGCCAGCTGTGACAACGTTTCTACGACCCAGGCGTGTTTGATCAGCGATTGTGCATAAATATTTGAAACACGACTGCATCATATCACCATGGAAATTCAAGTTCAGACGTGATTTTGGCCGTAGTCTGAATCCCCTTTAAAGAATAGCCCCACTTCATACAGCATACAGCACTCGTCTGCAGTTGCCAAAGTTTTCAGTAAATTGACAGCACGTACGTGTACTTGGCTTCGCGATAAAAAGTTTTGAAAAAGCTCATTTAAAATTAATTAAAAATGGGGAGATAAATTATCAACCGAATATGGAGCTAGCTTTCAGCAGCGGGTTCTGGAATATAGCGGACATACTGTGGACGAAGAAGAAAAAAGACAGCTAGTGGCCGGACAAGGCAAGAAAAATAATTATTTATATACAACGTGTGCACATGTGCAGGTTATAGAACACGCATGGCTTGAAGTGCACGGCTTTCCTGGCTGTTATGCAAGGTCCAGTCATAAGGCCTGGTACACAACCTGTTTTTTTGACACTGGAATGACCTTGATGACGATGATGAATGCCATGGGGCAACAGTGCGCATACGGAAACGAACGCGAGCTGAACCGCACCACCCACCGCTACCGCTAGTTGCCGGAACACGACGACAATGCGCACGGACAACGCAACAGCAAGTCGTCGTTCGTTTCCGCAAAGCCACCGCGAGCTCGCACGGCAGTGAACACAAGGGGCACGGCGAGCGGCAAGCAGTGTTCATAGTAAAAAAGCTAAAAAGCAATGCCACACGGTGGGTGTCCAGCATGAAGAGAGTTACAACATGCATGAGTAGAAATCCAAGCCCACAACCCGCCCGGGAGAAGCAGGGCTGGAACAACAGCAGCAGCAGCAGGTTGAAAAAACGCTCGGCAGGCTCGCAGAGAATTGTGCAATAACGCTCGACAACACCACCATACCAATTACTGAAGCAGCGAAGGAGAATTTCCACGAGCATTGACGTGGAACACATTACAGACTTTGATACACACCGAATACCATTGGTATCCCAAACAACGCCAGCAGTATCATCATTATCTTCATCGCTAGCAAAGGAACAGCTGGCACTGAGCGGTGATGGGCGACGATACAGGCCATACCGTTGAACACATGTCTGAAATATGGTAGACAATACCAAACGCCAAGGAGCCTCACACATCACCGTGATCAGAAACTAACTACGCCCGGGGCTTCCGTCAACAATATCACCATCGCCATCACCATCATCATCATCATCATCATCATCGCTACCAGAGGAACTAGTTTCATCGTTCGACGAAGCGGGAGACACGGCTAAAGATGAACTTCTGCGGTAGAGTGCCACAAGGTTCAGATAGCGTGCTTTCACCTGGACAGGACACAGTAGAGAACAACACAACACAATCAGTCAGTCATTGAAGGAGAAGAACGCACACACACACACACACACACACACACACACACACACACACACACACACACACACACACACACACACACACACACACACACACACACACACACACACACACACACACACACACACACACACACACACACACACACACACACACACACACACACACACACACACACACACACACACACACACACACACACACCTTTGACCTTTGACGCCCATCGCACACACACACACACACACACACACACACACACACACACACACACACACACACACACACACACACACACACACACACACACACACACACACACACACACACACACACACACACACACACACACACACACACACACACACACACACACACACACACACACACACACACACACACACACACACACACACACACACACACACACACACACACACACACACACACACACACACACACACACACACACACACACACACACACACACACACACACACACACACACACACACACACACACACACACACACACACACACACACACACACACACACACACACACACACACACACACACACACGGGCATCAGCACAAGATTCGAAATCAAAAGTACAAGTGCTACGGCTCACACGACTAAGTCAAACTAAACTGACGTTCGCACCAGCAGGAAAGCCATCATTCTTATGGATCAAGCTGCGAGCGCGAATGCAAGACATAAAGCGGTGGCTGTGAACAAAAAGACTGGCCGTGACGACATGCCTTTGTGAAGTGTGGCTGATGAACTGTTCGTGCTGTCGTCTGCAAGCATCGTGTGGTCTCGGCAGGTCAAAAGAAAAACCTATCACTGCTATGCGTTCGTATCCAACGGCGGAGGTCACGCTAGGTCATCACGCTCACCTCTTCAGCCGTGCGGCCTGGTAGCAGCAGTGCGACCTGTTGCATGGTATGGGAGGATACTCCACGCTGCTGGCAAGTCAACAGGATCAGACGATCTTCGTCCCTGGAGGCACATAGAAACGCATGCACACACACACACGCACACACACACACACACGCACACACACACACACACACACACACACACGCACACACACACGCGCACACACACACACACACGCACACGGTTAATTAAAACCAGGAGGCCAGCAGAATGACCTGAAAAGGGGAAAATCAATATCGTATAGAGTTTATGCGATGACGTCATCAGTTGAGATGCAATTTGTGAATTTGTGGACTCGCAGCACAACGCTGCGCTTTACTTGCACTAGCGATTCACGCTGCATACGTAGAGCGCATTAGAACATCCACTGACTCATGCTGCATTTTTAGCGCCAAGAGTGGATAAACAAGAGTGTGCAACTCCGCATCTCTCCTGCACAATCTTCAGATACTCGGCGGATTTTTTGTTGTTGATGCCACCTTTTAACAGAGCACGCGCATTTCGCCGCAAAGCTGTGTGAGAGCACGTGCTGGCCACCGGCCTTGTAACGTAAAGCCCGGCCAAGTGCACCGGGCAAAACATCCCAAAAAGACACGCAGCGTGTGCGTCATAGAAAAAAATTACGTCAACAAAGATGTCCGCCGTGGGCCAACCCATCCGCGAGTTGCACACTTTTGTTCATCTACTCTTGTTAGCGCGCATTAGAAAATCCGTCATGAAATCATTCACATAATCTCTATAGGTGAGAATAAAGGATCCCTCGAGACAGCATTCCAAAACACTCACCGCCAGATCAAGGGAGATTGAGAGATACACCAATTGGGAGAGAGAGAGAGAGAGAGAGAGAGAGAGAGAGAGAGAGAGAGAGAGAGAGAGAGAGAGAGAGAGAGAGAGAGAGAGAGAGAGAGAGAGAGAGAGAGCGAGAGAGAGAGAGAGAGAGAGAGAGAGAGAGAGAGAGAGAGAGAGAGAGAGAGAGAGAGAGAGAGAGAGAGAGAGAGAGAGAGAGAGAGAGAGAGAGAGAGAGGAGAGAGAGAGAGAGAGACCGTGCTTGGAAACCCAAACCCTATTAGGGATACGAGTGCATGTTCCAAAGGAGTGCACAACATTGCGTAACCAGTCACGCACGCAATTGCACAGACTCAAGCACGCATGCACACACACACACACACACACACACACACACACACACACACACACACACACACACACACACACACACACACACACACACATACACGAAACACAAACATTCCCCTTCAAAAGAGGAACAGACTTCACATGGTTTCCCTTACTTGGTCCAGCGATGCAGTTCAGCGGGAGTCTGTGCTGGTGAACTGTTGCCACTGAAGAGGGCCGGGGATGGACTAGATGATGCCTGGCCGGCTCCTGACCTCAACGCACTCAGACTGTGGTCAGAGCTGGCGGGTGAGCAGCTTGCAGGCCGCTCAGTAGCGCTAGTTTGCAGATGACCGGATCTGCTAGTGGCACTGGACAAAGCTGGGCTAGGCACAGCGCACCCTGCTACACTTGTAGAAGAGTTGCTCGGAGTGCGGTCGTAGTCGTGTGATGAGCAGCACGCGCCCTGCTCAGATATCCATTCTGAGCTCATTTGAGCGGGGTCAGCTGTGAGCACCGAGCCACTGGTCGTCTGTCCAGACGCTCCAACCGAGTTGCTCAAAGCAGACTGGGGAGAATCGTCTGAGCCGCACAGTGCACGCTCATGCCTGGTAGAGGCAACATCATCAGGCGTGCGTGACATATCTATACCGGAGGAGGTAGGCAGCGGGGCCGAGGTGATGACGTCATGACCTGCCGAGATGCCCTGGCATGTATCCGTAGCTGGGCTGTTAACCAGCTCACTCACAGCTCCACCCATGGTAACATGCTGAGCTGGACTGTGCACGCTTGAAGCACGCTCAAGATCACTCAGAGCATGAGTAGCAGTAGCAGCAGCGACACCATCGTGACAAGACCGGTCAGCCGGCTCGACCGCAGAACTAGCACTAGTTGCAGTGACGCGGTGAGAATCCGTTTCAGCGGGCGAATGAAATCGTGAGCTTTCAGCAGCCACGATGTCATTCGGTTCGTTGGTGGCTGATGCAAAAGCTGTGTTATCAGCATCGTGACAGTCTAGTGGCAGATTGGAAGAGGGCAACAAGGGGGTATTATCATCACGCCTTTCAGATATTTCACCACGTGCAGAGGCATGGCGAGAATCAGCGGCCACGGTGTCATTCCGCCCGTGGGTGGCTGCTGTGGAGGCTGTGTTACCAGCATCGTGACAGTCCAGTGGCTGGTTGCAAGAGGGTGACAGCGGCGTATCACTACACCTTTCAGATGTTGCTGATGGCGATGGAATAGCACTCGGCACGCCGGGACTACTGCCTAGTCGCGCCGGCGATTCTAAACAGGTAGCAGTCGTTAGGACCGTCCAAGCCTGCTGCTCAGGGGCAGTGAGAGGCAGGGCTTGTTGCTCGATAGCGGTGACAGGCAGGGCATGTTGCTCAATTACAGTGATATGCTGGTCCTGTTGCTTGGTTACGGTGGCGGGTGGGTCGTCTTGCTTGGTTACGGTGGCGAGTGAGTCTTGTTGCTCGGTTACGTAGACAGACAAGTCATGAACGCAGGACGAAGGTAGTAGAGCTGTTTCATCATCGAGCAAACTTGCAAGTGGGGAAGTCGTATGGCTCGCATATTGCGGTGGTTCCAATGGATGTTGAACGGTGTCTTGTGCCGGGGCGGGTGACTCGCTACCAACGGAAAGTACCGTGTCCGATGCTGGTGATCCTCCATGAGACGACTGATGCACCTGCAAAATCCCCGTGACAGCAGAGGGCGGTGATCCGATAGGCATATCCGGTGACCGCTCAGTACACAGTGCATGGTCGATAGAACTGTGTTCGGCTGGGGAGGATTTCTCACACAGCAAGCTGGTGTGCCGGTGGGTATCTTCCTCGCTACCAGCCGTGTCATTGCCAGGCTGGCCTTGCGGACTTATGGCACAGGAAACAGGTGAGCGATCACGCACGGACGTATCCGTAACGACTTCAGTGTGGTCTGCTTGTGACAGCGCCACGGCCACAGCTGCATCTGCAGCATCGTGGTCATCCGCTGTTACGGCGTTGACTCCAGCAGCAATGCTTTCACCGTCACCGTCGCCTGCTTCAGTAGGTTTTCCCGAACAGCTATTGTCTTGTTCCGCTAGTGTGACAGGGATAGGGTTCTGGCTGGGCGACTGCAGCTGGTCAATGGACTGCTTTGCGTGGGACACCTGCCCCTGCCCATGTTGTTGCTGGTCAAAATCAATGTCCTCCAGAACCTCAGCATCTCTGCTGCTATTCGGTGGCGCGGGGGAACACTCCACCGGTCCGCGCGTAGAAGCATGCTCGTAGCCGCTGCTGCCAGGCTGCAGACCAGGAGTGTGCTCCGGCAGAGACACAGAGCGAACACAGTCCACCACCGCGACGACGGTGGAGAGGTTTTCAGTCGCTTCACAGTGAGCAGTACCGGTGCCAGGCGACGGCGGTGGCAGCACAGAGCCGCCGCTGACGCCGGATGGCATTGCTGCGTCATCATCCTGTCTCGCCTGGCCAGCTGACTCTACAGCTCCAACAACACTAGAGTCTTCCGGCTGGGCACAGCTCCCAGCAGACTCCACACCATTACCGCCATCGCGCTCATGCTCTAACTGGAATAAGCGCATGGGCGCTGCAAACTCAGTCGCAGGCGCGTCAGCAGAATCAGAATACTGATCATCAAAAGGTGGACCACTGGCGCCGCCGGGGCTGCTCGCACTCGCCGTGATCGCCTCGCGTAGTGCGTCCGGGTGCACGGCAGCGATGGGCGACACCTGCAGGACACTGAGCACTGGCGAGGCGGCAGAGCTGACGGGCGGCAGTGGCAGCGCGGCTGCGTTGCCGTCGGTCACGAAGAGTTGCGAGCGGCGCGTGCAGCTGCGCGTGTGCGGGCGAGCCAGCGGCGTCGTCATTGGCGACGGCGTGGCCGAGCGATTCGAGCCGACTGACGGAGTGCTGCACGCCAACGGACTGCAGCGGTGAGCGTCGGTTGCCGACGACGATGATGATGGCGTGGCCGCACGGATGGAGAGCGAATGGCGAGTTGTTGCGCTTGGCGTGCGAAGTAGCGGTGGTGAGTGAGTGTCGGTGCGATGAGGCGTTGGTAGAGCGGATGCTGCGGGACTGGGGATCAGCGGCGACCGAAGAGAGACGTCAGACGCCGAGCAAACTCTTTTGGCGGTGCGCGTGGCGGCGCATGGAGTAGTAGTGCCGCTCGCTGAGCCGGAGTGACGACGCTTTGGCATGCGGCCGGGCGTTAACGTGGAACCGTCGCTTGCGAAGGAGTCATCCGACAGGAGCTCCCCGGCTGGCAGCGCCGACGGTGTTTCTGACGTGCATGCGACGTGCGACGTGCTCGCCGGTGCACGCCGGGTTGGTGTGGTGCTGCTGTTGCCAGCATCAGCAGCAGTGCGGCTTGCAGCCGCTATCGTGGATGTCACAAGGTCCTCGTCCACTTCCAGCCCGTCGTCAGTCATTAGGTCCTCAAGCAAGCCACTGCTGTCGATAGCACTGTCCACCAGTCCCTCGTCGGCCAGTTCGTCCTCACTGCTGCTAGCCGACACCATTGTGTGCTCGCTCCACGAGGAGAGGGACGCCTGCGAGTGCTTGCGTGAGCGGCGCGAGTCCGACTCGTATGAGCACTCGGATTCCTGACGTGCTCGGTCGTCGTCCCCAGACGGCAAGAGTGCATCCGGAGAGCAACACACATCGCCGTGATCACTATCGACCTGAGGTAGCTCGTCGTCTTGCGCCGCCTCGTCCGTATTCATAGGTTCGTCTTCCGCGGAACACTGCAGCATGATGTCTTCGTGCTTTGGCGGCGATGCAATGAACTCATCGGCTACGGGAGAATGCGTCGAAGCGGGAGATGGTTTCGGTGCGGCGGCAATGCTGCTACGCAACGTAGCATGGCCGTGAGGCGTGAACACGGCAGAGCCACCATCACCACCACCACCACCGGCTCGGCTGTTCCCCGATGACGCGTGAGCGGCTGCTCGACGCCGAGAAGTGTACGTGTGCCGTAACGACGACGATGCCGTGTCGTGCGGGCTGACAGCAGTCCCGCGAGGCACTGCACGGGAGTTAGCGATCCGCCGTCTTCCAGGACTGCTTTTCAGGTCTTTCTTGCGCGCCTTGTCCTTACGGCTCTTGTCGCACAGGCACTGGGATCGAGTCAGTAGAAGCTTGCAGCGCAGGCCAGACGTCGACGCAGCGCTGGCGGGAGCTTTCGCAGGCATGCCGGCACGTTTGCCGGACGATGTGGTCTTCGTTACGGGTTTCTTCACCGTAACGTCCTTGTCCTTGTCGATGACCACCCAGCGGTGCATGCCGCAACGCGAGCATTTCGTGTAGGCGCGCCGTCCGGGCCGAAAGCCCACTCTGTTGTCGCAACGCAGCACATCGTCCAAGTTGATGTTCTCAAAACCGTCATCCTTCTACACGTGAACACACACACACACACACGCCCACACAGTGCACACACAGGCAAACAAACACACACACACACACAGTGCACAAACAGACAAAGAAACAGACCCTTGAATCTTTGGATGCCCATTGCTCCGCGCCGTGATGGCATACCAACAGACAGACAGACAGGTAGATAGATAGCTAAGCATATAGGAATGAGCAACATAGCAAACAAGATCAATCATGTTCCGCCTTCAGTGTAGAAGCGCCTCCTCTAGATTCGTTACAAAATCTAGTCATCATAGTTTCAATAGAGAACTCCCAAAACAAAATGCACCGGCTTAATGTTGTCGACAGATGCAAGGCCATCATTTGGTTGTCATCGCGAGCTGGACACACCCGCACGCACGCACACACATACGCGCCCGAGCACCGGGAGCATTTAGCCAGGAAACTCACCACAGATGTGGCAAGGCTTGGCCGGACATGGCAAGCTGACCACTTCATGTCGTTGGCTAGCAACGTCAAGTTCTCTCCTTCGTCGTCGAGAAAGATCTCCTCCCAGCTCTGACCGTCTCCCTCGTTCTTGTTGATCCTTCAGTTGAGAATGCAGAGAGATAATTTCAGATAAATAAAGAGCATGACCGAGTTAGAAGACATACACAAGGGCATGCCACCCGGGTCACGTCTACGGCGAGAAATATCCATAATGGTGATTATACAGTTTTTGGGCAGAGAAATCAGACCTCATGAATAAAGAAGTCCAATGCTCATGGAAGAAAAATGAGAAAAAGGATACAGACATGTCATTCCATATATGTACATTGTAGTAGTAGTAGTAGTGATAATGCATGGTGACACTCAGTGAGGCCTTGATAGAAGTTACTGCTAATTCCTTGACCTTTGGAATGACTGTTGCCGGTTCGAATCCCACAATTTCATGTGTTACCTTTTTGTGTCTTTTCCCATTTATGCCAATGATGTAATCATTACTCATTACTCTTTGTAGTAGATAGAGTAGTCACATGAGCTTCTCTGATTGGCTGTTGCTAGGCGCCAGTGCCTGGCCCTGGTATAAAGGCAGTGGTTTCTCCTCATTTCATCCTCTTTCTCTTCGGGTCCTGATGGAGTCGTGAGCTGCTGCTGGCTACTGTTCAAGTACTGTAACTATGACCTTCTCTTCCCTCTTCTTCTATTCCTCCATTGTTGTATGAAACTATAACATCAAGAAAGAGTGTCTTGTTGTAGATGTGTGAGTG